CGTTGCGTTGGGATCTTTATTACACGACTTTATTATACAATTCCAAAAGTGGACGAATTCTTTCCTGAAAGAAAAGCAATTAACGAATATTCAATAAATTAGATGGGGAATTTCCTTGTATCACAGGATACCCCTGTTGCACAGTAATGCGCTTCTTGTCTTACGCATGGCATAAGTCTGTCCTTGTCGAATAGTAGCGTGCTCCTTAGCTAACACCTCCTTGGATACCACCTTGCACATTCCATTTACTTACATATATATATTCTTGTTGCTTTTACGCAATTCAAGCCAACTCCAATAGAGGGCAGCACCGAAGTGACCATAGAGAAAGAGGACAGTATTGTGCGACAAGGACAGACATACAGTGGCGGTCACAAGAAAGTTTTGAATTGTGTACACTGTGTAACTTTTATGCTAACAATTTTTTACCATATTGATAACAGTCACCTATTCTATCGTATAATAATAATCAGAAACTCTGATAATACGTAAAAGTCTATCAATGTTCGTAAATCACATAATAAAATCAGAAAAAACATCTTGATAATGCAATGTTGCAGATGTGTATAGATTTAATTAATTATTTAATAGGTTAAGAGTTTGATAAGACGCTTACACAATATCAAACTATTTACTCTTTCGTACTCTTCGTGTTAAAATTTCGAAACGAAAAATGTTATGGTAAAATTCAAAGCACCTCGGATAATACGGAACTTCGGTTAAATGTGCCTCGAATAACCGAGACCCCACTGTATATTTATTCATTGCTCTTATTAAATATAATTCCATTCTGTAAAATTATGGTGTATTTTTATATTTCTTATGGTATAAATTTCTTTTCCGCCACTGTATGTACTCGCGTCAGACAAAGAGAGCGATAATGTGTAATAAGGATAGCAATAATGTTTAGTTCGGTTTTTCACCATTACGTGGCGATAGTGTTTCAATGTCCTACCCATAAATCGAACAAATTTTCGTTAGTGAAAAAGATTAATTAAGAGCATTAGCATACGAACTTCTGCAGTTGTATCTGGCTAATTGGACCCTTGACTTTCCTTTTTATGTAATTTGAACCTCGATATACATTTGTAAGAAAGTATATATTTTTTACGCAAATATTCTGCGACGATACAATGAACTTACGCATTATTTACGTTATATCAAATTGATTTATACACTTTGTCGGATACAGTACAACGCACGATTTAAGTTTCTATAATCACGTAGAGTTAAACTACACAAATTTTTATGCGTATAGTACGTGGACGGAACAAATGTTTATATTATGTAAGTATATTTCATTTCTCCAATTATATTTGCAAAGATACAAAGTTTAATGAAAATCCTCAGTCTACTCATTAATACATTACCTTTCATAGCCGGTACCATGGCCCAGGTTTTCGCGCATGATTTGCTGGTAAATTGACCGAGGAATCCTTCCAAAAAGTAAAAAGGTTTGCCAACAAAGAATAACACGATTATATAAGGTATTAGAAATGCACCACCTCCGTTTTCATAGGCAGTGAAAGGAAATCTCCATACATTTCCTAGACCAACGGAAGCAGCGATGCAAGCCATTAGAAATTCTAGACCACCTCCCCATTCTGCTCTCTGAGGAAAAGAAGAAGTGATGTGCAAATTGGTTTTATCATCATCCAGTGGCGTAATATTGGGATAAGTAGTTAGCAAGTATATGTTAATCGTTATAATGATAGAAAGAGACCTCGAATGAAAATCTCAATAATTATAAATAAATACTATTAAAAATATTCTGCTTCGCCAAAGGTTCAATGTTTTATATTACACTGTAAATGTTTATTTATTTGTGAGAATTGAAATTAATACAAGATTTAATTTCAGAGAAAATTCGAAAGGCCAAAAATTTATAAGTTCAGAAATTCGGAAATTCTATAGTTAATATAACTTTAATGTGAAAGTTTCAAAACTCGAAAATTCCAAACTACAGAAGTTTAAAAATTCCAAAAATCAGAACTTCCGAAATCCTACCGTTCAACAATTCGAAAATTTTGGAACCAAAAAAGTTACAAGATTCGATAGTTCCAAATTCAGAGATTTAAAAATTTCAAAAGGAAACAATGACAAAAAACTATATTAACCAAGTTCTTCTAATTTGTTTCACGAACGCAATGTTAAGAAGCGAAATCCTATCGTTTAAATCGATCGGAAAAATAGTAAAAATTGAGCACATACAGAAGGACTGTTTTCCGATGTTACTTGCTGCACGTCAGGTTCTCCTTTCGATTTTTCACCATTCCCTTTTCCTTCCAAGTAAATATTTTCCATCTGGAACGCCTCGTTAGCGTAGCCATTTTTCTCCTGAAATATTCTACTCGTTAATTGAAAATTTCAACTCGCAATCGGCCGGATTACTCAAAAATCCTAGTCGCTATAAAATCTCTCACATAAGTTCCACTCTCGATCTTCTCCATCGTCATCGAGTATTCCCAAGAATCTCCAAATTTCTTATCCTACAAATATTCTATTCCACCACTAATGATATTAAAGGAGGATCACTATTTTCCTAGCAGTTCATAAAAATTATTTATCAATCATCACATGTAACGAAATCACGATATCATTTCAAAAAAGATCGATGAATTCCAAAACATAGAACTTATCACAGATTTTTCAAGAATTCACTTCACTTCATTATGAAAATAAACATTTCACTGAGATTGGAAAGGATAATAAAATACATGGCAAGTTTAATGGCAAAAGGATAATAAACGATATAAAAATTGAATTTGGGCACTGGATTGGGAGAAAGATAATAAAATAGTAAGTTTAATAATACAAGAATAATAGATAATATAAGAATTAAATTTGAATACTCGTAACTTAATTAGAAGAATACTAAAATAGAATATTAAGAACAGCAAAGATAAATAAACCCTTCTTCCAGATCGACGAAACAAAAAAAGGAGACAGAAAATCGAAAAATTATTAATAAAATGATTAATCAAAACTAAAGTAAACTTAAATTAAAGAACCTATTTTTTCGAATATAGTTTCTTACTATTAATAACATTTGTCATAAGGATACTTTTAAATGGGATTGTTGAAGGATGCTCGATCAGCTAGCTCGAACAAGACTGATCGCGACTGGTGCAAAGTAAAACTGAGTTTTAGCGCGCGAGTAGATTAGATACGTACGATCGTTAGTAAACGCTCTCTTTCGTAGCACGAACTTCATCTTGGTTTTGTCAAGGTGTTTTATGCACGATACCGATGTAGCATGTATCGCACGTTGTTGAGTATATTCACGTTCAAGCCATAAAAATTGTATCATGTACTTCTCAAAACAAAAAATCAGTGTTTGAGATTTGTTAAGTTTTCTAGCTTCAAATTCTTTCTCAATAACTATAACAATTTCTGATTTCTTTGAGAAGTACTTTTTTCTTTTTATAGAATTCTTTAAATGGAAAGGATAGTTGTTTTTTAAATCTTCATTCTCTCTAATTGAAATACTAATTTTGTGATAAAGTATCTTTGAGTAAGAAGTGCTTCATTTTTCCTTATTTTTATTTATCTTTTGATAAATATTAATGTTTTATATCTTTTTACTTATTTAACTTTTTGTCTCCGTTTGATTAATGTAATGGAACTTTTATAACAGCGAATGAAGTGGTTTTGCGAAATAAGTGTAAGATAATTAAGAATTTCCTTATTTTCATAGTTCTTGTCAACAGTAACAATTTATTATATCTTATCATTTCTTTTTAGGTACAATTTTCATAATACTGAGTTTATTCTGGAGAAGCAAAGCCTCCATAAATAACACGTCATTTTCACATTGAAGTAATTTTTAAGTAAAAACATTCCCTTTATTTGAAGTTTACTAAATAATGTCACTTTATCGATAAATTTTATTGATCTAATATCACGGTTCATAATGAATTCAGGACAATAAAATCGGGTAATCCAACAATCATTCCTCGAACGTGTAAGCCTCAAAGCTTCATTCAACGATAAAGAATCGTAATCAGCTTGTTCCTTTATCAGCGTAGATAGATCAGCATAGAATAGGCCAAAAAAACGGTGCAACCATAAAACGCACACAACACTGTCTGCTTTATCGGATGTTCAAAATTTTTCCTTTGGCTTTTTAATTTCTCAAATAATTCAATATTGAGAAAAGACAAGAAAGGAAGAAATGAAACCTATTTATGAAAGTGAAAATGATACCTCGAAAAAGTTAAAATAGGGAAGAAGGTAAAAAATAAAAGTTAAGAAGCTATAAAGAAGTTATGGAAGCATAGACTCTTGTTAACGAAAATCTTGGACATAGTGTGCTTCGTGAAAGATGCTAACCAAATATACCTGACACGTGCTTGCCTGCTCACACATATGCGATAAACGTGAATTGATAATTTAGATTAGTGGGAATTACTGTAATATTTTTCGATTACGCAGAAGATTCTCTCAACGTGTTTGAAATTTCATGACTTTATCTCGTCAATTTCACTTTCGATCATAAATTAAAAATTTTAATTATAGAGTTAAAAATTCTTTCTTTATAAATTATATATGTCAGATACGAAGTATATATAATACTCACTTATTCTTTCTTTATAAATTATATATGTCAGATACGGAGTATATATAATACTCACATATTCTTTCCTCTAAATTTTTAGGTAGATCTATCAAGATAGTTGCAATTCGATATCTGTTTAACAATATATTTTAGAACACCCTTTATACAGGGACGTAAAACGGGACGTCTGGCAAACGAGGTTACTTTATATGCAAAAGTATAAATCGACAATCAATGATAAGATTACAATATTTTTATTATAAATCTTCTTAAAATAACATATGCATAATTCACATCAAATTTTGTTTTCTCTAATATAATTCTTTTATTTCATTTATTTGAGGTCACATGCACCTCTATGGGTTAGGTTTAGTTTATACAATGCTATTTTAGATTTATTATATATACAAATATCTCTCGAACATTATAATATTTCCTATATCGATTTCTATAACAAATGACAGTGTAATCTTGAATCGCGAAGCTTTTGTCAAATTCTGGGCAGTAGGTAGAGCAATGTGAGATTTTTCTGGCAAAAGATAGTCGGACAAATTTCCACTGTATCCACGAGAAGACGAGGGAACCTACGATCGAATTATGATGATCAATCAGTGGCAATCGATGATGGACAACCTGAGTGACATTTATTATCTCGTGCGGTTGATAATCCGTCAAGTTTCCATATACTTACGAGTAAGATCGCGTGATTAACCTCCTTATTACAGGAACAACGGAACATCTAGATGTCAATCAGTATGATAGAAAAATTACTTAAATTAAAAAAGCTATTTTTCTGTAGTATTTAAGAAGAAGAAAATAACGTCGCGCTTGTGTGGGACATACCAAATTTATGACCCTTATTTATCATATCATAAGTGGAATCCAAAAATCCCAGTTTCAAATCGCGGAGATCATTATTTTACAACTTATGCGTATATAAAGTTTGTATATATTGCTCAGTTTATTTGGATACCATATTGACTTTTAAAAAATGATACTAACCTCTCTTGCGCATCTAATCTTTCGCTGATTTACTTACATCTGACATCAATATGATTCTTAATAATATTAATGAAACCTAACTCAAATCAATATCAATTCATTCTGTTGCTTTCTCATTGATATTGTTGTGTTATAAGTAGTCACGAAGGTTAGTTTTAAGATTTGTTATATCTAGTTCATCTATCTGTCTTTCATTTGCATTTTATGTTTTATTTTATATATTCTCGATAAATGTCATTGATGACTACTTTACGATGTAGACTATGTAATAGAAATTGTTCTAAAATTATCTGAAAGTCTCATAGATCAACTTCAACAAAATAACACCAATTGATAGTTAATCGAGCCCTTGATGTAATAAATCATGTATGTCTCCAAGTAAACACTGCAATATGCATAAACTTTACATACGTATAGTTCTTAAAATAATGAACTCCGTGCTTTAAAACCAGTATGTTGTATATGTTAGACAAAAGATAAATCACAAATTCGATGTGTGCCTCAAAACAAAATGTCAACGTTGCTCTTGTTTTAGGATGTGATTCTCTATAAAGTGTTCTGGTTGGCAACAAACGACAACTTCGATTCTTCGGATACGAAACTTCGTGTCACGTTGAGGAATATTACAACAGATGTCGTAGCTTTTTCGGTTATCTGTGCCGTTCTTTTTCTCCTCGTGGTTCTCGCGTCGAAGTATGAAAAGGATGAAAACCAACTTTTTACACCTGTGGGAATAGAAACGTTAGTTTATACAATGAATTATTATGGTAATTATCATAGTGATTGATGCAACAGGAAAAGGAAATGGATAATCGCGAAATTGTCATTTTAATTTGAAATTTTTGCTAGTCTAGTGGGAATAGAGTCATTTGATTAATTAAATGGCAGAAAAATATTAGGGTACAAGGACGCGTAAGAACTAATCCTACTGTTCTGCTGACTTATTCTTCACGCTTATATTCTGTGAAATATTTTCTTTTCAATTTCTGAAATACCTAATTCATGAAGAGTATGAAATACACAGAAAATAGTAAATACATATACCAAATACTAGTACAAAATATTTAAATACTATTTATATCTCAGTAATATTTATTTATATATAATAGATCTATATAATAGATCTAAATATAATGATAGGGTTAAATAAAACGTTTTTAACTTCTTAATTTTTAGAAATTAAATAGGCATTCTTCCTAATCATCTATATGTATAATCAACTCCACTTAGCAAAAAGAGGAACTACTAGAGTTGCTCTATCCTACATAACCCCAATTAAATGAAAAGAATCAAAATCTTTTCAGTGTGCAAGTATTAATTTTTCCAATTTATTTATAGAGTCACAGTAGATCACCCACAGGATTCATTCTGCGTTTCAAACACGAATTCCAATACGACAAACTGTTCCCACGCTTGCGGCGATTCGATATTACCGCGCAGACGAATTTCAAAGAGAAATTTCTCCGAGGAAGACATAATCAGGGTTCGTTCCTGTAGCGAAAAACGAACCACAAGGATTCCAAAGAAATCGATTTTCGGCCTAACCATGAGCCAACCACAAAATTGTCAAAGTACCCAAACCACTCGTGAAATATTCCATAAAAACAATCAAAAATGGTTGATTAGACGGACAAGAAGCGGCCATATTTATGGAAAATATCCTGTATAGCAAGAACTATAATAATCTTTGAAATTTTCATTCATCTACCTCAAGAATGCACAGAAAACTTGGACAACGTGAAAAAAAATCAAATGAATTTAATTATTCATCAAAATTTGCATCCAAATGTTGAAACAAAATGCACAACTAATGATAAGGATAGTGAATATCGATGTTACTGTTATGTGCCTCGACTGTTTAACATTCCAGGCAACTAACGATGGTTTAATATTATCGGAAGAGCGCAGGTAATGAATCATTTCTCAAGAATCAATTTTCGACGTGAGCTTTGAAACAAATGATTAAGCATGAATACCTCTATGTTTATTAATACCCATCGCAGATCACTGTTTGCCATTTCTACTTCTCTCTCGCTCTTCTTTCTGTTTCTTTTTTTTTTTTTTTAATTTATTTAAGCTATGTTAATTGACTTATCTCACGAGACAATTTTCATTTTTTCAGAGATATATCGTTTTACAAAGATTTTTGAAATTTTATTTTTAAGATGTTAATATTGTCTAAGTGTACAAGTTTGTAAAACGTATTTTATTCTAAGGAAACTTCAGTAATTGGTTTTTGTAAGGATGAATTGTTATTTACACGAATTTTATACATTGCTTCGTATAAAATTTTATTTACATTCTTGAGATTTTATTTCTTTCGTCGTTTAATTTGTTACTATTGTATAACGTGACGTTTGTATATGCAGTGTTTGTTGTACGAATAAATATCGTTTGATTTTTCATGTCTGTCCGATTGATTTCGTCAAAGATGAAATATTAATTTTTATTGGATGCATTATCGATTAAAAAAAAGACAGTTGTATCTGATAAATGTCACTAAGCTTTTTATATTACCGGTTATAAAAACCATATACTAAATGTGATGTCGCAGGCTTAAAATGACTTCGTTTCTAGGAAATATTGCTCGCGCATCCGTTTCGATAATCTGTCAATTATTTCTATTTCTGTCTAACATATTGTACTGATATAGAAAAATATAAGCCGCATATTGTTATTATAGACGATTAATTATATAAACAAACAAATCTCGCCTGCGCGCAAAATACGAATATTCATAAAAATATGTTTGATGAGAATAATGAAGCCTGCGCTCATCGATCCACGACGAAACCATGGAAACAGCCAAGGCACAGAAATCAAAACAATCTTCGTTTGAAACACCGATTCCTATCAACAATTTCACATAATTGTTTCCTCGGGAAATCGTTCTGAATCTTCCAAGGAAACGGATAATCATTTTCGAACAATGGATATCAAAGATAGCAGCGACGAAGAAGAGATACATGATATATCAGCGTTCACGAAATTCGACGAGAGTATCGAGGTACGAAACGCTGAGGAGATACAAAGTCCAGTGAGTCGTAGGCCTTCCAGTTCGAGGAGACCTAGACAACATGCGATGGACGAGAGCCGAAGTGCTATAGGAATAAATTCACCTCGCGAAAAATTCAATTTTCGAAGGTAATTCAATCAAGGATTAATTGGTACAATTCTTCAATAATTACATCAATAGTATTATAGATGTGAATTTTCACCTACTATGGTTGTAATTTTGTTACCTCGATCGCAAGATTACGAATGAAATGAAAATTATATTTTCTTTAAAACTCTCGCAATAAAAATTTACAGATACTCGGATCGTGATAACAGCTTTGGGAAATCCATGGGAATTCATAGTGATCCATCGGACAGTGAAGAAAGCGATGATGATGATATTCAAGGAACGAGCAACGCTCAGCCCATTGAAATTTATAATCCTAAGGATTTCGAGGATTTAGAGGTGTCTACTGAGATGAAGGAATTATTTCAAAACATAATGAGGTATCGTCGATCACGCCTTCTTAATCCGTCGATCTTTTAGTTCTCCTATCTACTGCAAAATACCTTGTCTACCATTCGATTCTTTTATAGTAATAGTAATTGACGTAATGATAATTGTGTTATTTATTTTTCATCAGGTATACTCCGCAAAAGATCGAATTAAATTACAAACTCATACCATTCATCCCCGATTACATCCCAGCAGTGGGTGACATAGACGCTTTTATCAAAATCCCGCGACCAGACGGCGTAGAAGACAAAATCGGTTTAACAGTTTTGGACGAGCCTTGCACCAATCAATCTGATCCAGCTGTCCTTCATCTTCAACTTCGTAATCATTTACGAAGCGGAGGAGGAGCGAGACAAACGGTGGTTAAAAGAATCGAAGATGCAGAAAAAAATGGAAAATCAATCGAGAAGTGGATCGAGGATATAAATCAGCTTCACAGAAGCAAACATGCTCCCGCAGTTAACTTAACGAAACCGATGCCAGACATCGACTCGTTGCTTCAACAATGGCCACCGGAAGTTGAGGACAAGCTTAACGAAGTTGAATTGAATTTCACGCAATTGGACTGTCAACTACCAGAACTTATCGATCTTATATGTAATCTTTTGGATATACCATCGGAAGAGAGCATGAGATTGGAGGCATTGCATGTGCTCTTCACGCTTTATTTAGAAGTTCGAAATGTCAGAGCGCAGAAATATTAATCGTAAGGAAGGTTTAAACGTACTGTGATGAGGACATAAATAGGGAAATTTTACACTAAATTTAATTTGATTTAGTTCGTAATTATTACTTGAAATAAGAATTTGATAGCTATTTTGTATCTAGAATAGCTCAAAGTACGAGGAATGTATTTTAAACTTGTATATATGTATATGATAGAAAAAAAATAAGAATAACATATTTCCCTATTTATATACTGTTATCTATAATGGAGGTTTGATTATCAGTTTTATTTTATGAAGAATAATAATTTCTATCAATTGTAAATCACTATACATAGTTAACAATAATAACGAACGTAAGAGTTTACTTTCATATAATCTGAATACCATGTTTCCACTCAATGGAAAGAATTTACATCCAATTTACGCAACTACCATTTTAGATAATGTAATCAGAGACCACTGATTTCCGATTAATTACATATAAAAGGAAAAGTATTTCGATTATGACAACATCATTTACACAACATATTAAACAATGTCAAGTACATAATACATTATGATCGAAGAGAAATGTTTGACAAGTGAAAGGAAAATAAGAATTTATCTCAATTTTTCTTGTCGCTCAATCTAAAACCGGAAATTTTATATCATACATCTTTTCCTTATTACTACTTTCCTTACATTTACTATATAATCACACTTTTTATCTTACAGAATGCATTCTTTTCTATTCCTACTTCCAATAATTTTAATACATACTATGAAATTTCAAATATTTCGACTTTCCTCGTAGGAGGCGCTTGTGCATTTTCTTATCCAAATAACAAACTTCCAGTTTCACGAAATAATAAATTGAGGGTTTCCTAATTATTTTACAATTTTTATAAATTTCTTTCTTAAAGAATTTAATCTTTTCAAACCGAGTTTTTTGAAAATACGAATATGACATCTATTATAATATGACACGTACTATGTGTGTATATTGTGTATATGTATTGTGTATTGTGTGTATAACAAAATACACATAACCTTTGATCAAATAATTATAACAAATTCTGTAACAATGAAAGTGTAGTCATAAATTGAGCACCGCTTTCATTGGACATGAATCATAGTATTAATCACGTGATTGACAATATGTATACATAATACATATTTCTTTTCTTTGTATAAGTTTAGCATGCGGTAACAGTGCGTAACAACGAAGTCGTATCTGTACTCTGTGATGATTTTTCTTTTTGTACTTTGTAAAATTTGATTGCAGTGACAGTGATTGAAAAATAATGGACACTTCGACGCATATAAACGTGATAATAAACAGCAACATCGATGACAGTGTTGACAGTTGCGTGAATGATGAAAATGACACGGAAAAGCTACTGAAACCAAGAAATAATTTTGCGTCATATTCAAACGATAACATTAACATTAGATTTCGGGTATGAAATATATAATAATCTGATAATGTTAATAATCTAACGGCAAAGTGTATCTTTTCAAAATTTCTTTCTTACTTTTTATTTGGCACTATGAAATAACCTAGCTAACACCTGTCTGCTTTCACACTATTGTGTATAAACACAAACTCTTATCTTTTACAATGTTGATAAGATAAAAAAAATTCTTTCATATGAAAATGAAGTAGTATATAAGTTTAGAATCTTATAATTATTTTTAATGTTTTAGTTTTGTATTTTTGACAGAATGTAGCATCACTGAGTATTGGGGAAACACTTTCCAGTAATCCAAGGAGGCTTAATACAGAAGAAATTTCTCCCGGTGCTACTAATTTCCTATCAACTAATTACGAGGTACTTTGTCTTTGTGATATATACTTTGTGTATAATTTTCTTATTAATGCTTATAATTATAGTTATCTTTAATTTTGATGAATTTTCTGCATCAATCATTATCAATATCTTATCTTAAAAGTAATTAAGTTTCAAGGAAATATCATATGTAAAATACATCTACAATTTTTATTTTTATTCTTTCAGAGTTTAGATTATGATCCCTGTGAGAATTATCTCCTTCAAGACGAAGAAAGAAAGAAAGGCTACAAGTTTATAGTTAAGAAGAACTTTGCCAGATGGTTTATTTTCTTATTGATAGGTATCTGCACAGCACTTATAGCTGGTTTTGTAGATATTTCTATAGAAGAATTATCAAACCTAAAGTATGGTTGTTTAAAATTGTGTATCCTTACTACTGTATACAAATAAAAAAAGTATACATATAAATTTGATTGTTCCTTATAATTAATAACAGATGTAGATCAATGTGTAACAACAAACTGTCTATGGCTGCCATATCTACTATGGTTAGCCTTCAATTTCGCACCTGTCTTAATAGGTGCTATTTTAGTATCCTATATAGAACCTGTTGCAGCAGGTAGTGGTATTCCACAAGTAAAGTGTTATTTAAATGGAGTTAAAATGCCTCGAGTTGTTCGTATAAAAACATTAGTAGTAAAAACAATAGGAGTAATTTGTACAGTAGTTGGAGGCCTTGCTGGTGGAAAAGTAAATATTTTTTATTACTATCTCTGTAATATAATTTGCTATAAAGATACAAAAGTCTTTCAATACAGAATAAAAATAATATTCTAGGAAGGACCTATGATACATTCTGGAGCTGTGGTAGCAGCAGGAATATCACAAGGCAAAAGTACTACATTCAGAAAAGATTTTAAGGTATTTCAATATTTTAGAGAGGACCATGAAAAACGAGATTTTGTGTCAGGAGGTGCAGCTTCTGGTGTATCTGCTGCATTTGGTGCGCCAATTGGTAAGTGTCAAAAAACATAGTATACATATTACAAACATTAATTACTTGATTAAAAATAATTTAGGAGGAGTATTATTCAGTATCGAAGAAGGAACCAGTTTCTTTAATCAAAGTCTCACATGGAGAACATTTTTTGCTAGTATGATTACAACATTTACGCTAAACATCATCCTTAGTACGTATCACGGACGACCTGGTGACCTTTCTTATCCAGGCTTACTAAACCTTGGAAAATTTGAGACAATTCCCTATCAGATTTACGAAATTCCTCTATTTATGATAATGGGAACAATTGGTGGATTTTTGGGTGCTTGTTGGAATCATTTAAATTATAAAATCACCTGTTTCCGTTTGAAATATGTAAAGCAGAAATGGTTAAAAGTAATAGAAGCTCTTGTAGTTGCTGCACTAAGTGCAACACTGGGTTTTAGTATGATTTATTTTCTGAACGACTGCAAACCATTAGGGCGAGATCCCACGAAATTTCCTATTCAAATGTATTGCAAGGAGGGTGAATATAGCGCAGTTGCAGCTTTATGGTTCCAAACTCCAGAAAGTAGTGTACGATCTTTGTTTCATGATCCTAAAGGTATGCTGATAATATAGAACATAAAAGGTATGCATATATAGAACAACATAAGATGTATTTAATCAAGTTCTCGTTTATAGGTTCCCATAATGATATTACTTTAGCTATCTTTGTTGTCCTCTACTTTTTTCTGGCTGTTGCTACCTTTGGTCTGTCCATGTCTAGCGGACTGTTCATTCCTTCCCTGCTAATTGGCTCTGCATGGGGTAGACTAATTGGATCAGGCCTTGCAAAAATTTTTCCAAATTGCGTAAGAAACGATTGTGAAAATAAACCCAAAATATTACACAAAATATGAATTACTGTAAATTATTGCAGGTCGTTTTAGATCCTGGGAAATATGCTTTATTAGGTGCAGCTGCTCAATTAGGAGGAGTAGTTAGAATGACAATAAGTTTAACCGCTATATTAATAGAAGCTACTCAAGGAATATCCTTTGGCTTGCCACTTATAGTAGTTCTTATTATGGCTAAATGGGTTGGAGACTTTTTCAATGAGGCATAAAAATATATTATATTACTCTGTATTTTTACGTTTTAAAACGTCTATGTATTACTCTAATAATTTTTATTATTTTTTATTTTATAGGGTATATATGATATTCATACACAAATGGCTGGTATTCCCATATTACCATGGGAAGCCCCGCCATTATCAAACAATATATACGCTAGTGAAATAATGAGCCACCCAATAGTAACACTAAAAACTGTAGAAAATGTAGGACATATAGTAGAACTTCTTAAATGTGTAACATTTAATGGTTTCCCTGTAGTTGATCCTCCTAATAGTGATGAGGTACTGAACATCATATTATAAAATATCAAAAAATTTATCGTTTTGTTATATCTGTCTTTTTTTATTCCAGACTGAAATACATTCGTATGGACGGTTTCGGGGACTAATTTTACGTTCCCAACTAATAGTATTACTACAAAATAAAATTTTTAACAGAAACTTAGAATATTGGGAAAAGTCATTAAGTATTAAATTGTTCAGAAAAGAATATCCGAGATATCCAACAATTGATCAAGTGACCATAAGTGAAGAAGAAAAAACTTATATGATAGATTTAAGACCTTTTATGAATCCTTCTCCTTATACACTACAGCATGTTAGTATTTTGTAAATATTTTATCTACATATTATTACACGACAGATCAAAAGAATGTTCTTTTATTAATCATTTCATTTTCAGTCTGCGACACTGCCACGAGCATTTAGGCTCTTTAGAGCTTTAGGTCTTAGGCATTTACCTGTAGTCAATGATACAAATGAGGTACTAACAATTAATGTATTCTATAAAAAATCTCTACTACAGAAAAACTGTGGTTTTCAATCTTTTCGTAGGTAATTGGGATTATTACAAGAAAAGATGTTGCCAGATTTAGGATATGGGAACATAGAGGAAGAATGGGTCTAGATGAACTTCTAATTACCAATAAAATTTAATTTTAATTTTCTTGACACAAAATTTAATATTTAATTTATGGAAAATAGTTTATAATGATATTATGTACAAACATTATGTTTTTATATAAACATAGAAGAATTCTTATATTTTACTTTTCTGTAAAGAAAATCTAGGTATTACAAAAAGAAAGTGAAGAGGCAAAATTAACCAAAGACACAATGCACATAATATTAATTATTTATAAATAAGTGCCAACCTAGCCATGACCATAATTTAAAAAACAGATACACTGGGATAATGATCAACGATAAAAGAAAATAATATTCATATGTTGAAATATACATTGGAATTAATATCCTGTTATAATCACCTCTACAGATTATAATTCATGTGATCGAGTATTCAAGACCTATGTACAACCTGCAACAAGAAAAGGATATTTTGTAGAAATTTTCACTTCTTTTACCAATATAATTAAGTCTCTTAAAATGATGGATTAGATTCTAGAATAAATTATCCAGCATTTACTATTTATTATGTTCAAATTTATACACAATATTTATATATTGTAGAGTATCTACAAAATACAAATATTTTAGAAAAAGTAAAGAACTGAGAAAACAGTTTGTATCCTAAATAATTATGCTTTATATATACATATACATACATTATACAATGTCTTATCAAGAACTTTTTGCTAAATTAATAATAATTTTTATTTTCTCTAGTATATGTCTATATCTTAATATAAACTAACTTGATAAAATTTCTTGGCAAATAAGATTGGCAAAGATTATTAAATACTATCAGGTATTAGTAAAATTATATTTTGCGCACTTCCGCATAAACGATATCAATATCTATAAAAATTAAAGATGTAAGAATTGTCGCCAATTAATTCCGAGTTCCTATTTCGGGAATAAATCACCTTGAGATAATAATATGTGCACGGCAGGAGAATACTATCTCTGTCTAATCTGCTATAAATCGTGGCTTAAAAATTTTTTCGCGAACAATAAAAAGATTCTTAGTCAGATCTTACGTGTAACTATGACGATATCTTCCTCCTCATAAGTGTTCATAATAATTGCAAATATTTGAGAGCGATAAACGAGTGAAAGGCATTAGAATGCATTAACGCAAGTGTTAATACGGAATTAATTATAATTTATAGTCGAAATGCACGTAATTCGAATATTTAACAACGGTATCCACGACGGTTCGCCATTTCAATGATTGGTTTCTGAATTATCCACGCTTGCGCGTATATCAGTAAGAAAAAGAGAGGTAAATTCAAATAATTTTATGGGTGATTTTTTTTTCTAAACTGTATACCATTATTATTATAAATATATATTGTTATTGGAAGACGGCATTGTATGTAAATTGAACGAAATGAACAATTACAAGTGGAGTAGAAAAAAAGGTACTTTGCAATTAAATAAACAGGGTAATCCAATAAAAGAAAGGAAAAAGAATAGACACAGACTATTAACAAAACCTCAAGAAACAGAAGAAGAAGCTATAATTCGGAGATTTCACGATGCACAAAGAATGGCAAGATTTCGAGCTAGAAAGAAGAAAGCTTTGGAGGATGTGGAGGCACTTAAGAAAGAATTAAACAGAAGAAATATTACTTTTGAAACTGTTGACTCTATTGTCTCCATAGCAAAAATGGAACAACATCAAACATATTTCCCTATACAAAATCCATCAATTGTACATTCAGCTTGTGAACAAAGTAAATATTCCCAATTATTGAAAGTCATTGAGGAATTAGGAAGGAACATTAAATTAACCTATGCTGGTAGTAGAATTTCAATAGAGAGATTAAAACTAGGTATCATAAAAGCCAGGATGTTGGTAAAAGAATGCTTACTGGAAACAGAAATAAATTCACAGCAATAACTAGCAATATATAAGTAGACGTAATATAACTTATTGTTATGATTCTATTAGAATGTACAAATATCTTATTTAAATTTTGTATAGAGATAAATATAGCAATATTACGAGAGTAATACTCAGAGATCATTTACTGTTTGAACAATAGCAATAATTGTGAGTGTTATGCTCATAGACGTTTCTCTTCCATTAACAAATGATAAAACACAAAAAGAATTACCTTCACTACTGAGAAGGATATAAATGCTATGCAATACATGATCATTAAAAATAAAAAGAATTCGTTGATATAGTAACAATAATACTCCATATAGGTTATGAAAAAAACACGTGTGAATAATAACCCTTTTACATACGAAAAATAAAATTTAATAAAATTCTACGACGATTAACAATGGTATTCCAATTAATAATAATGCCCCATATAATTAATATATGAAAACTTATTTCCGATATAAAAAATAAAAATTTACTTGCTTAAATTGAACAAACTAACTCTTCACAAATAAAACACGTCGGCTAATTTATCTAAATTCATATTGGCAAATACAGAAACGATAAAATTCGAAATAATGTCAATTGTCTCATAAGTTAATCTGTATTATTATACTCAATTATCACGTAATATTTGAAAAGTGTTTCGCAATAAAACTTCATTGAAAACGTATCTTCCCGGCAAGTTGACCGTTAAGTCTCACCTTGTCGTCTGAAAGAACCGAAAAGAAAGCTCGTCAACATTTTCTCATTCTCTTAAAGGAAACCGGTCTTCCGAATCGTGAAAGAAAGACTTACCGTGAGTCGAATATATTCCTTTTCAAGAAAACATTTATGGTGTATTTTTGTTAATCGATGGAAAAAAGAGGAGTCGTATCGTATCGCCATTCGCAGAGACGATAGAAACGGTCGAGCATTCCAAGCATCTTTGTAGATTCTTTGGAGACAATGTCGTATATTTTAAGACGCGGCCGGTTTTGGTCAATTGTTTTGCGGTCTCTCAGGTCGTACACCTGTCCGTCGTGAAGTTGCAGACGGGAGTAGGAAGGGGTTATGGTCAATAAACGCAACCACGTCACACGCAGCCTATCGGCGACCCCGCTTGGCCCCTTAAAGTGGCTCCGAACGAAAATCTTACATGTCGGCCGATATTGCTTTTGTGCGTTTGTCTGCGATATATCTTAAGAAAACCCGTATCAATTCATCTAGAAACAATAACGACGTATGTGTTTCACCATAAAGAAGATGCTATTATAAAATGGCAACGGTCCAAGACGTGATTTAGCCTCGCACCGGGTTAATCGTGCGTTTCAGTGAACTGACCGAATTGCATCCGCCATTGTTGTGATTGGTGAACGTTTCAGAGAAGACGGCGTTCTTAGATTGACGCGCATGCGCGTTGCGTGCTACTTGACGACGCTCTTCTTTCGAATTTTGGGGAGACACACGCATACAGACGAAATCGACGCAGGGGCACAGGTAGCAGAGCACGCACACGTACGATATAACACCTACATACATACGTATTTCGAAAACAGTTTCGCCGCTCGATTTTTGCGCACGTGCTATGAAATTTTTTCGAGCTTGTTACCCGCGTCTTTTTTAGACATACCAATTAATATCCACGTTATTCGCTTTCTATACGTTAAATAAAAGCAGTTCGAATGTTTCTTAAGAGAGAGTCCAGGTTGATGTCATTTTCTTTCCTGATGCAGACAAAATTTTTAGACGTTATTATCGTTAATCTTGTTTAAACGAGAATTTTCGTAGGTTTGTAATCACGACATTCTAAAATTTAATCGCGCCTAAACAAAACGAGCGATAACAATGTTTATTGTGCTTGATATTATGTAAATGAAGCATTCTTATCTTTTATGAAAATGTCTGATCAGATGTATTCTAACCAATTTTATGATTTTCTTTTTTATTGCAGATAATTTCCAAAGTAAAAGAGTAATAATAAGAATCATTTTATATATGAAGAAATATGTAAGAACAATTAGTAGAAATAGCAAAAGGAAAGCAAAGTTAGTTACGCTTAACCAATAACGCATGCACAAAGTATATTTTCTGAAAGGTTTGGTATTTGAAATAGACAAAAATGAGAATCCATATAGATGATGATATCTATACAGTGCTTAATTGCATGTTATGCCTAAGGCTAAGAAAAAATCTTACCTTAAAAAGGTAAGAGAAATGCGTGAATATAGAAGACAAAAATTGAAGGAAGAAACATTAGAGGAACGTGCTATTAGATTATATACTGCTGCTGAGAGAATGAAGAACGCTAGAGCTAAAGAGACAGAAGAGCAGGCAGCAATAAGAAGAATGCAGGAAGCTCAGCGCATGGCCAGGCATCGTGCTAAAAAGAAGCGCTGTTTAGATGAAAACTTAGCAAGGGAAATTTCGAAAATTGCTGAGTTATCTAAAATGCCAGATGCAGCTACGATAGCTCAAATGTCAGAGATGAATATGAATAAAATCTCTGCGGAATTGAAACAAATGATGGAAAGAGGAAAAGTACCAGAACATATAGTTCAAATGGCTCAACTTGCGGAGTTCAGCAAAATGACTGAATTGAATAAAATGTCTCAGGATATGGCTAAAAGATACGAGATGGAAAAGATGGCAGAGTATGCCAAGACAACAGAATACATGAAAATGCAAGAAATTGCAAAGATGTCTGAGATTGCCAAGATGAACGAGATGGTAAAGCTCTCAGAGATTGCTAAATACAATGATATCACGAAAATTAATGAAATTGCGAAGATGAATGAAATGATGAAAATGTCTCAAATGGCAAAAATCAATGAAGTTCAAAGAATGAATGAGATAGCCAAACTAAACGAAATGGTGAAGATGACGGAAATGGCGAAATATAATAATGATATAACAAAATTAAATGAAATTGCACAAATTAACGAGATGGCTAAAGAAATTGCAAAGATGAATGAGAAAACGAAAATGACCGAGATGATTAAAATGGCAAATATGCAAAATGACATTACAAAGATGCCTGAATATTCGAAAATGGCAGAAATGGCAAAATTAACTGAATTGGCTAAATTAAATGAAATAACGATAACGAAATTAAATGATCCACCACCGCCACCAAAGGTACCAGAAATTCCTCGAATCCCTGAACCTGTGATCACTGTGCCAAATCCAAGAAATTTGCAAAATGTTCAGACTGTTCAAGTAGCGCAAGCTAGCCCATCCAGTACAATAAACTTTCCTACTGTGCCTGGTCAGGGTAAATATGCTCAGTTACTGGTTATTATCGAGGAGCTTGGAAGAGACATTCGCCTTTCTTATGCTGGAAGTCGCAGCGCAGCTGAACGCCTGAAGATGGGTATTCAGCATGCTCGAATTCTTGTACGAGAATGTCTACTGGAAACAGAACATAACGCGCGGCAATGATCTGCCGATATACTTAGCGATTAGATTTTTAGTCGATTATTTTAAAAAGTAATACTATGTACATTGTATGCAGTACAACAGTATATTTTAAAGGGAGTGTCTTAGCATCCACAAAAACGTGTATAGAATATATAACTATTATTATTTCTTATTATATGATCTTACTAGTTTGTATGTTTAATAAAAGAAAGTATGAGCAGCTAGTTGTTTTAAATAATGGGAAGATTAAGAAAGTAATAGCTGTATAACTTAATATCACGTTCAATAATCAATAAAATGATTTAAGATATGCACTTTTGTGGATGCCTAAAGAAAATTAATCAATCAATAGCGCATAATATTGAATATAAATTAAATGACATGAAAAAGATTCGTTTTTCACTTTAGTTGATTATTTTTATTAGAAAGAATGTAAAGATGACCATTTTCTATGCAAAGATTCAAATTATGAAGGAATTATTCCTTCATATTAAGTTCTTGATTAGTGAGTAGGAAACATAATATTAGGCAGGGAGAATTTGTACACTGTGAAGAGCCTTCATTTATATTTTCTAAGGAAAGTTTATTACTGCATTTTTTGGTTGAGATATGGGTACCTAGTAATTACCTACAATATACATGCAAGAAAAAAAAATTGATCAAACAAAATGTACCTACGAAAAGTATAATCCTTGAATATTACCGATTGCAAGGTATAACTAAATAAAAAAATACAGTTTTGTACAATATTGTCTATTAATTTTATACCCCTAAATCAAATTTGTATACGTATTTGTAGTAGAATATGTAATTTGAATTTGGCGCCACATGTAACGAAATGTAGTTTCTAGCTTTTCCGTAAAGCGGTGTTAAAATTCCAGATACGTGTATATATGTATGCAATAGTATGTACAATAGCGGTGGAGAATAAAAGTCAATAGATTTAAGAATTTTTTGAACATTACGCTTAATTTTTATTTGTACTTATTTATTTACCGCGTAAGATTTTACTAACGTATTCGTTAAGGTGAGTTTCATATGAAATGTAAAATATAATTACATATTTAATTGAAGGTTATATTTATGTTTATTTTAATTTCACTGATCATACTAAAATCTTCTCGCATGATTGTCTTCAATTTTAAAAATTGTATTTTTTATATAAACTACATTTGCTTTTCATATATTAAAAATTAATATATTTGCGAGATATAAGTAGTACATTGATGAAATTGTAACAGTCGTCTTGTGATATCTAGCTTATTATAACTTAGATTCTCTTCATAAATTATTTGTTAGGATATTTATTTAAAAAAAAAGACAGTTAGAGAAGATGGAAGAGGAACGAGGAAATGTAGAAGTTTCAGCAAAGGTTACAGAGCCACTAATCAATGTACCAAATCCAAGAGCTCTTCAACAAACTGTTCCTTCTCTACCTGGTCAATCAAAGTATATACAGCTGCTTAATGTCATAGAAGAACTTGGTCACGAGGTTAGACCTACCTATGCTGGCAGTCGTACTTCTATAGAAAAAATTAAGCGTGGTATTGTACATGCACGTATCTTAGTTAGGGAATGTTTAGTTGAAACTGAAAAAAGCGCTCGTCAATAGGGCAAAAGTTTAAAATAATTTTTACACATAATAATCTGTAACTGACCAAGTACTCGAGAAGTATTTAACTATAGTGTAAAATATCTTATATATTTTTTGCCAAAGATGATACTGCGTATATATCTTAAAAGATGAAAGAATCAGATAACAATTTATCTACCTCAAACTTCAAATTTTAATTGAACAAAAAGATCAGTACTGTGAATAATAGTCATTAATTAAGCATAGGAAATAATTTTAATTATTTTTTAAAAATTAGTTTAAAAAATTATGCATTATTATATATTTATTTTATAAAATAACAAATTATTTATTCCTTTTTATATTATCAAAGAGAGTACAATGGAAGTAGCCATTAGATGCTATAGTTTATTAGTTGCAAGGTAATTAATTTTATGCGAATAATGAATGCATAGCATATTCCATAGCCAAAATTATTATTTTATATAATAGCCCCTGATAATAATGACTGATTATTGAAATGTATCTAATAATACATTTTATATTAAGAATGAAGAATGTATGTATCAATTTTACATAATAATTTTAAAGTAAAATTTTTAATTGCATTATTGATAGTACAAATATATTACTCAAATACAATGAAGGTAAATAGAAACTGATGAAATCAAGTTACAAAGAACCAATATAGTATTAAATCTTAACAGTATATATTTAGAATAAGATTTGTATGAGTATATTGTGACGTACTTAAATAATGATGTGTTATGAAAATATTTAAAGTGAGAAGATGAAAAGTTCCTATAACATGTAAATGATCTTTGCTCAGAAATGTATGAATTTACTACGTATAAGAAATGATGATCATGTCTTGTTCCTAAATATTAATTATGATATGATCTCAATAATAACGACACACTCAGACCAAAAAGTACAAGTTATATGTATGTCAAGTTTTCAATGCAAATAAATAGATCAAATAGGGTTTTTATAAATATTTATCACAATTTTTTAAACGTTTATTAATAATATTTAACAGAAACCAACTTCATATCAAATGTTTTCAAACAAATTTTTATCTTTAATAAGAATAATAAGAATAGTAAACATAATTGGAAATAGCAATACAACATTACATACAAATGTAATTGCGTGCAACCTTAAAAATTTTGAATTTGTAATAATTTAAATATTGTATGACGTATTTTATTTTCATTAATTGTAATATTTATACAAATAAAGGTTTTTGCGTGTGAATCCCATAATATCTCCCTTAAAATAATTTTGATGTTTTTAGCCTAGAACCTTCAAATTTATCATTTCGTGTTACAGATTACAGAAAGTCAAGCATGTTCCGTACTTTGGATACTTTCGATACCGAATTTTCCGCTGATTCAGTTGAATGGTGTCCAATAGATTCCTTCAAAGATGTATTTGTTTGTGGAACGTATCAATTAATGAAAGACGAGAATTTACCATCCAATGTATCATCAAAACGTTTAGGAAGAATTTATCTATTTCAAATTGTACAAAATGGACGCTTAAGAATATTGCAAAAATTAGAAGTACCCGCTGTATTGGATATGAAATGGGCGCATGTTACATTACAAAATAAAATTTTACTCGGTGTTGTAAACTCTTTAGGGCACTTACAAATTTATCAACTTAAAAATGATAACGAAAAGATAACTTTAGAATTATTAGTGCAGAAGAGAGTTGGCGATGAAGTACTTGCATTATCTTTAGATTGGTGTACCGGAAGATTGATGAATGAAGACAGTTTAAAAATAGTAGTTAGCGACTCAGAAGGTTTCGTTTCATTGTTTGAGTTAAACGAAAATGAACTTAATAAAATTAATTCATGGTCAGCACATGGATTTGAAGCATGGATTGCAGCTTTTAATTATTGGGATACAAACATCATATATAGCGGTATGGAAGTAAATGAAATCAAAATTTATTTAAAAAATTAACAATAATTATATTTAAGGTGGCGATGACTGTAAATTTCAATGTATTGATACGAGGATAAAGACTCGGGTTTCAAATAAAGTTCACGGTGCAGGCGTTACAAGTATTCATAGTAATGCAGCGAGAGAATTTTTATTATCATCTGGAAGGTGCTGTAAAGCTTAAAGTACACTAGAACTCCATTTATCTGAACTCATTGAAAGATGCAATAATAATTCATCGATTCTCTCCGCTATTTATGATTTTCCGTTCATATAATAATTTATATTCAAATAAATGAATTCAATTAGCAGAAATTCATTTAGTTCAATAAATGAAGTTCTACTATAGAATAGTAATATTAATAAGATAACGATTTTGAATAAAACTCTCATAATGTTTTAGTTATGATGAAATATTGAGATTATGGGATACGAGAAACTTGAAGCAGCCAATTTCAAATATCAATCTGGGCGGCGGTATTTGGCGTTTAAAATGGGATCCCTTTAAGTGGAAATATTTGTTCGCTGCTTGCATGTATAGCGGATTTAGAATAGTCGACTGCGAAAATACTGAAATACCGTCTGTTATTGGCGAGTATAATGAACACGAAAGTATAGCATATGGGTGCGATTGGAGTTACTTAAATAGCGAAGAAATATCAGGACAAATACTCGAAAAAGAAACGAAATATGCATTTCTAATGGCTACTTGTTCTTTTTATGATCATGTTTTAAAATTATCTGCATTATATTTAAAGAATAACTAAAGAATTTTCAATAAAGAAGAACCGAAAATTTATATATCTACAATAGGTAACTTTTATTGTAATGTGTCAAGTTCTTCTTTTATTCTCTATAATACTAATCATTTTTTTATTGTATTATTTGTTATGCACACATGAAAGAAGGTTAACCTATTAATCGGTGGGTTCTGATTTGTGGGATACAATATTTTCTTTATTTATAAACCTCGTATCATTTCTGTTAATAAGTTATCTCATATTTGCATTTGCAAAAATTAAGATTGATTAAATTGGAATTAATTTCTTTTTATCAACTCTTAGTTTCATAATTATACTAGTTTTTTGTTAAGAAATGTTCCAAGAGATTAATAATTTAACGAAAACAAGTTAATTTCAGTTAAATTGGTTTCAATCTTTAGAAATATACACTAATGTGATACAATTTATTTCCAACAGAAATGAAATGAGACAAAAATGTAACTATTATGTCCAAAAGATTGACAATTTAAGTGACGATTCAACTCTTTCCCAGTTAATAGGTTAATTAAGACAAAACAGATTTAGCTGGATTTTAATCTTTGGAAATATAAGTACGACATAATTTATCTTTGACATTAGAAATGAGGCGTAGAAATAATTGTTATATGTAAAATATTGGTCATTTAAATACTTAGCAATCTCTTCCCCGATTAACAGGTTAAATTTGAAGAGTTACGAAGCATGCGCAAGAAAAATTAAAGGATCCCGGCATCGCGTCGCTATTCGATGAACGTGGAATGGTTTAGAGAGTCGCTGGAAGATGGCAATGTGGCAGTGCAAGCTGCATTTCGCCGCGGCCAGTTCGATAAAAATCAGTCGTTCACAGGGGCTGTTTTGGCGTGGTGTCAGTGCTGTGATTTCTGTGACGAGTTTGCGTTCAGTTCCGCGGTAAATTATCAGTGATTAGTTTTGGTAAGTAAATTTTTATTTTGTCGACAATTTCAATTTCTACATTCATTACCATGATCCATGGCATTGTGAATTTTTCTTGGCTCGATCAGTAAAATCAGCTGTGGAATTGTGCACGTCCTGTCCCTGTGGAATGACCTAGAAAAGATTTGGCGCGTATCCTTGCAAAATTTTCGGCCCCCTTCTCGAGAATCTTATTGTGTGACAAATATCAAGAATGCTCATTGAATCAAGGTTAGAATATAACGTTTGACGTGATAAACTTGCAGGGGAAGCAGAGCGACAGTTTGATTCCCCAGTCGTTAGGGACAGGCCGCTTTAGGAGAATTTAATCGAGTTTCGAGACCGTCGTTGGTCCATCGATTCATTAGCGAATTCATCTGAAAACCGTGGCCATTCAACGAGCTCTTCACTCTTTAACACAGTTACATTTTCTCGATCATTTTACCGAACCAAAATTGTAGTTTTCTAACGTCGAAAAATACCTGCAATTTGGAAAGTATTTGAAAAATCCATTGGTGTGTAAGATAAGAGATAGGTTAAAATATAAAAATTGAAGAATCGTAGCAGGATTCAGGCTTCTTATTCGAAAGAATTGTTTCTAGAATGTATCACGGTACAATAACGATTGTTTAAACAATAATTAGATCTTTTACATACATATAAATATTTATCTCTTTGACAAATTTTATATGACTTTAAACAAATTTCATATTCTGTTGTATGAATAGAAATTTTCGAATGGACAGAAATTAAAACAATCTTTATTGTTTTTATTTGTAATATTTTGAATGACTGTTAAAATTCTACAAGAAATATTCATGATGCCATCGTGATTTAACCAATTGTTTTTGGGTGGGGTGAATCTACGAATTGAAGCTAACTATTACTGACAAATTACGAAACAATTTCGGTTATTCCTATACATCAAATTTAGTTTCATATTTCGACCTTTTCAAGTTTGTTTAATTAAACGGAAAAATGATACATCGGTGCCGTTTTTTCTTTTTCGAACGCACAAGTGTCTCAAGCTTGAATCTCACTTGACAGCTACGGTTCTTGTTGGATACGGCGAAGGTTACTCAACAGCATATTAATTATTCTCCGCAGCTTTTCATCATTAATTTAGATGCAATCTAACGGTCCCTTGGTTCTGTACCACTATTTACCCATTCTTTAATTCTTTTACACTCAACGAATAATTCTATCAGGTAAACTGTTCTCATTTCTCACATTAGGGGTCGAGATTATGATCTGATATTGTTATTTTTCTTCATCATCTGCCTCATTGTTCCAAAACGTCGGTACTCTTAATCTTATGTGTGTAATTATTTTTAAAATTTATTCGAATTGTACAGGGACACTGAATTTATCGTGATGACCATTAAATCATGTAAATTGTAGAATATCTTTGTAGATTGATCTGACAGATTCAGAAATATTCCAATCTTTTTTGTGATATTTTTTATAATGGTATAACTTTTTCTTTACCTTAACTTTATATTACAATATATCGATTAGCTTTGTTATTATTGTTAGTTGATTTTCTAAACGATGGCTATTCTTTCAAAAGGATATTGGTCAGGGTGAAATAAAAATAAAATACTTTGCAATCATTGTTTTCAAGGTATGAAAGATATACTAGAAATATTAGAATAATTAAAATGATCAATTCGTAATTTTTCATACAGATTCCATAGACTTACATCGTTTATTTGTATTTCTGAGTTATTTTTTGAAGATTTTCTGTAATACTTTTTAAGTGAAATTTGTTTTACATTATATATTTTTCATATATCTTTCATTTTGATTTCTTCATTATAAATTTATTTACTATTAATCCTGAGGTCCATTCGAATTGACCGCGTAAAAAGGTGGCGTGACAGGACTATTAAATTCTGCCTTTTTTTCCCTATCAGTTATTAGTATGTTTGCAGGTTATGAGATCAAGGACGAGCGAGACATAGACATCGACCAGAAATTATATCCTTTATGGTGGTCAAAGCTTATCAATCTTTCTTTCTGTCTAAAAAAGGGGCGTTGTCTTTTGGGATATTTTGGATGAAATCGCATTCGACAATTTCGCTACTTCTTTCTGATGGAGATAAAACAGTTTCATTCTTTTGCATGTCCGCGATGACGTATCTACGTGCCCATCATGTATATAGTGTATGTAGTCATGTATATATATATATATATATAGACAAACTTGCGTGTATATGTGTAGGATACTGTTTAATCGATTTTGTCTTCTACCAACGTTATCGCATGAAAACGAAACGGTGTTGTCGAGAAACCGACATGGAAATAAAAAAATATGCTGTATTTATGTATTATGCAAAAGTATTTATCATTCGTGCATTATTTTATCATTTTAGAAGAGATATATGAATGTTCGACGATTATTCTATGCAAATAGATGTAAAACGGAATTAATTATGCATGTTACAGATATGTATCTTGCATCTACGGCTACTATCAATAAAATTATCGATAAATATCGGTAATTCGACATATCGGTAATAACTTTACCTTAAAGATAATAATTATACTGTAATATATTGTACATTGTAGTTCAGGCATCTAATGTTCGATTTATCGATATTGTAGCGATAACTAATTGATAGTTACACATATACTTATCGTTCTGATATCGATAAATGGAACAGAGATGATTGAAGTGATTTGTTTTGTATCCTTCTTCAAGTTAAGATATTATTGATATGTCGATAGCATTTTGCTAACTTCGTTCATATTTTCTCATGAAGATTAATTGGTGCGTAAATAATTACATTAGGAAAATCTGTTAAACGATTTAATTGAATACATCTGGATAACGATAAATTATCTTATTATACATATTCCGTTTCTCGCATTATTGAATTTTTCCTCTTTAATATCTCTCATTGTAACAAGGATTTAGAAAAATCCTTCGTGTTGAAACACATTTTTTAATCAAAATGTTTCGAAAGTATCTCTATCGAATCTGCTGTATTAATTTATTGTTCGATACTCGTACACTAAGTTTCTTGAACTTCTCTCTTATGATTGCACGATGTTTTTTCTTTCATATTTCGTGCGTATACGAGCGGAGGCGTGGTCCACGGCATGGGAAGGAAATGACGACGGAAGGGGGCTTCTTGTCTAAGATTCCTCGGTATGCGGAGCTCATTAAAATCGAAATTTTTCAATCGACGGACGCCTCGTTAATTAACGAATCGTTGGGTACGCGATTGAAAGAGTGCACGCTAATATAAGGATTATCGGGGAATTTTAAGTCCCTAGACATTAATACTACGGTACTTATTTTCGTAAAAATTAACCGACGTTATTGTTGAACATCATAGGGGCGATTTGAAAGTTAACAAACGGTTGAACAGATATTTATTAGAAAATTAAAATCTAGCGAGAGAAATCTATTGGGGGGAATAGCGATCTCTGCCTTCATAAATTAAAGAAATTTATTTTTAATTGAATGTTGTGTATAACAGAGTTTTAATTGAAAATTATGTATCATAGAGTATAGAATGGAATAATTAAGAGATATACAGAATAAAGAGAGTTTAGAAAATTAGAAATCTAATAACTGTATGTGGCATTAAATTGTTATTGTGTTATTTAATTTCAACTTTCGAAAGATTCACGTTCAGAATTAATAATTTTTCTATCTACCCACCGTGTCCTTAATGTTTTTTAAATGCGAATATACGACGTTTAAGAATCATCAACTTCGCATTAAGTTGTGACGTAGATATCAAATCGAATCTCAGACTTGCAGAATTTATCATCAACGG